GTAAGGCAGATAAAGTTGAATAAAAAGCACAAATGGTTGCGAACAGGATACAACTACAGTGGGCCATGTGTCTGAAAGCTTAGCTGAAGTTCTGCACCAGCCATTGCTGCATATCCAGTCAAAGAAAAAGAACACAGTATTGATGTACAACAAAATTCTCAGAACTGAAATTAAAAGAAATGTATTGCAACATATAAGGAGAATTTATATTTTAATCTTGGAACCTTACCTGGGCCCCCTCAGAGCTGGAGAAGACTTGGGTCTTCTTCCGTCTAAACCTTCCATCCACCCTGGGAGTGGAACAAATGCACGCTTCACAGATGAACTGCTTACATCCCGACCTCCAGCTAGCCATCCATCTGCCTGTCTGAATGGAACTGTACCAGGGTGGGTGGGTGAAGAAGGTCGCTGTGGGGGTGGGGAGGCTGCATTTACCCTTGTTGTGGCACTCCCCACCCTAGAAGGTATTCCACTGTTGCCAGCCTTTTTGATAACTTCTGGTGTCTTCCAAGCATTTATTCTTGCATGTTCTGTGAAGGACATCATCTCTTGTAGGCCTCCAGATTCAACAGCAAAGTACTGACCACTTTCTGAATCAAGGTCATCTAACGAGTGCTCATCTTCATCAAGACTACCCTCCATGAGAGGTGCTTCCTCTTCCATTTCTCTGCTGAAGAAGAAGAAAAATAATCATGTGCCGATAGGCCTTTTCCAAGTTTCTTTGCGACTCTGTTTCGAAATGAGTTCTCAAACAAAACCTTTGATTATAAGAAAATGAGTTTTGTTTGCATGAAAATGAACACGTGAGGCAGGACACACGTTCATACGAATTTCATATGAATGGTTTCGCACGAAGACTCGTTTTGACACAAAGGCAAAAGGCAACTTGGAATAGCCTGTTGTGATGTTCCAAAAAGTACCCATAAAGCAGTTCTTAAGCCGGGTCTGGGGCAGGCCCACTTCTTGCAATGAATCAAGGATTTTCCTCTGTCTGAGACTAGACTAATATTGACAGGGGTCAAATCATGCAGCAATGACGGATGTGATTAGGCAAACTAGCCTGATAAAATATTTGGGTCAGGTAGCAGCTCTTGCAAGGTCTCTTAGGGCTGTGCTATAGAAGCACCTGGGTGCGACAGTCGACCAACTGTTCTTCAGGTGCCTGGAAAAACTTACTTTTTTTTCATATAAACTAGTGCTGGGTACCCAATATTTTGAAACATCAGGTTAGGAACCTTTGGGCTCCCCGTAATTTTTCTTAGACCCTAGCCTTGTCTCACATGAATGGCTTGATATGCTTTGAGAGAACAATAAAACAAACAGAAACAACGCCAGTAGCCCTAAAACAATATATAACAGCTACTACACTAGGACGACAAAGAGAATTCAAGCTTACATGGGCTGCTACACTTCTGAAATATTTACTTTACAAGCTCAGTGCTAAGCGTCTTTGGGAAAAAAGTGTACCCTATTCTGGGTGAAAAATCTTTATAGACACAAGCTTTTGAAAATTGTTGGAGAAATTATATGTTAAGTAATTTGAAAGATAAACAGAAATCTTTTGAATTTCCCACTGCCATTAAATGGAGCTAATCCATCAGAGCCACAAAAAAAAAACGTATGAAAAAACTACATAACAAGTCTTTCATTCTATAAGAACACATTTAAATTTGTAACTGAAGAACAGATAAGGCTATCATGTCGACACAGATCTCTATTTAATTTTTTTGGGTGTGAATTTGCAAGCAAACTTCAGATCTTACTTTTGTTAGACCAAATATTGCTTAACCTTACTAACTTAACAATCTACGGTGTATATTCTTTAACATTTACACTCTTACATGTTAGTCTCAATGTCTTCTTCCACAAGTTCGCCATCTACCAGCAAAGGCACACATCAATAAATTAACATGTAATTTAACCACATGATAAAATTGGAATTGTTTAACCCAGCACTTGAGCAAAAAATCATCTGTAGCAAAATCGCAACCCAAGTTCAATGTTACAAATGACTAGTCAAGTTCACAAGTGATTGAAGTCCTAAGCAGGATTGTGTTCTTACTCCATGATGGAGGCAACGTGGCCAAGTGGTCAGCGCATCGGACTCACAATCTAGTGGTCCCGGGTTTGAGTCCCGCTCTGACCACTACCTGGATTGTTTCACGGTAGCCCGGAGTTCAAATCCTTGCCCACGCTTGTAAACAGCCAACTGGTTTGCCTCTGGCCAGTTGGGATTCTTAACAATGTTATGTTCAATATGAACGATTTTTTTCAGTTGTTTGCTCCGCCCCACTGGCCTTTGGTGGTAGGGGTAAATAACAGTTATTTATTTATTTTTATTATTATTTTTTTTTTGGATGGAGTACATCCCCATAAGATATCAGCACGGCTAAATACAAGTGATAATCCCCACACTCAGTTCTTAGATTAGAGAACAAATTAAATG